CTAAAAAGATCGCTGAGTCATGGTTATCTTTCAGCTATCTGTCCATTACACTCTGCAGGAAAGGCAACGGTAAGATATCACACTGCAGGTTTAAACTGTTTCCGTATCAGGCTGTCAGCTCTGGAGCACACTGCAAACCCAACTACAGACATAAAACCTTTCCAGACTAAAGGTGAAGGCTAAAGGCAAACCGTTTCTAACCCCTACTTATGCATCACAGTTGTTGTATTTTATCTTCTGTCGTGTACTGTGGTATTTTTATGTGAATCAAAGCTGTGCATTTTAATTGCACCGTGTACATAAAGGCCTAACGAGGGACACGCGTTCAATAAGAACCAGAAACTCCCCGTGCAGCTAACTGAGTAAAAGTCACTTGGCAGCTGCACGGAAACATCTGCTGAATGATCGATGTGTACAGTCGTGGTCTCTGGCCCGGGCATGAGCCACTCCTTATCTGCTGTAGCTCTAATTAAGATGGAGTTTAACTGGCAATTAGCCGGCTAACAACTTTACAGAGAGGGACCCAGCTGCAGCTCTGCCTCCAGCTGATGGTACACGTATAGACACCTATCTGTCTGGGGAGCAGCAGAGCAGGTGTGAAATACTGGAGCACCTGCACACAATCGCTTCTTCTTGTGCTCGTAACAAAGACACTGAAGCACAGCCATACGTACGCAACGTCTGCACAGGATGAGGCAATCATGGCACAACAGCTACAAGAGTTTCTGTAGATAATCCTGCTGCATCTTCCTGTCAATAATAATAATAATGCTGCTAAAGCCACATCCAGACTATCAGAATACTATCACACCAGTCAATGAATTCCCTTTTCTTTAAACCCTTGTATGTGCGCTGAGGAGGGCAGCGACGACCCAGTAGCTGTTTCAGGAACAGCCTGCGTCTGACAGCAGCTGACATTCTGTCATTGTTCGTGGCTTTTCTACAGTGACTCAGACCAGATCAACACATGTTCCACGAGGAAGTCATGGAAGCCAGGTCTGTGACATTCTGACATGGTGTCATCCAGACCAAGGCTATATATGTATAAAAACTAAAAACAACCTTAAAACCATAAAGTCCTGTTAGGTGCTGCTGACCTGTGGTGTCGTTCACTCTGTGTGGGTCTGTGGAGGAGTGAAGCAGGTCTAAAGCGCTGCTGCTTGTTTGGTTGTTCCCCTCCACTGTGACAATAAGGTGAGAAATTCAGTCGAATCTGCAGCATCATAATAAACATCCATCATCTCTACACCTTAGTCCTCACCAGGGTCATGGGGGGCGGAGCCTATCCCAGCTGACTCAGGGTGAAGGCAGGTTCACCTGGACAGGTAACCAGTCTATCACAGGGCTACACTTAGAGACAGACAACCAAGCACACTCACATTCACACCTACGGACAATTTACAATCACCAATTAACCTCAGCATGTTTCTGGACTGTGGGAGGAAGCCGGAGAACCCGGAGAGAACCCACGCTGCACGGGGAGAACATGGAGACTCCACGCAGGAAGATCCCGGGTGTCCTCACCGGGACGCCAACCGGCGACCTTCTAGCTGTGAGGCGCTAACGATGCTAACCACTGAACCACCTGCAGCCCATAATAAACATAAATATAACAACACAAGAGCTGACATTAGGAGTGATGACTCATTTCAACCTTTTCTCAGGGTTCTGTGGTTGGGAGATGTTTCAGGTTCAGGTTAGTCCATTTTTTTCTCTTTTTCTTTATCGCCACACTCATTTTGTCCATTAACTTTTGCCATATTTCTTGTAACTGCACACATAAGCACTCACACAAGGTGTTAAAAGTTATCTAATCTTGTAATTCTCAATAATTATTGATAAAAAACAGGAAGTTATTGTGATATGTAATTTCAGACTTGGTTCTATGACAGATAAACTAGCTTTGGTCATTATGTGGGTTTACATGCAGCAGGTCGACAGGACTTCATACGTTTTCTGTTGCACAACTTCTTTAGAGGCGGTAAAGTTGGTCTCGTCTGCTCCAACCTGCTCTGAGCGCTGATTTGATGCTGATTCAAGTGTCTGATGAGGATCAAAGCCAGGAAGGGGAAGATTCCCGGGACCCCCTGCTGTTACCTTAATTAAAGCTCAGCACTGATCCACTTCGGCCGGTCGCTGCCGTAATGTGCCCTTCAGCCGCTGAAGCTCAGCCATGCAGAAAAAACAGGGTCACGAAAAACAGGAACTTTTTTTTTTTTTGCTTTGGAAATATTGTGGAGAACTGGAAGTCATCCTCAATCTAAAATTAGTGAGTGGACGCTGCATTCCTCCCACAGTCTGTGGTCCTACTTTCTTAGTGCATTAATGCCCCTCTAGTCGCTCTGACGGGTGGAGCTAAATGTACTGCTCAGTTTGAATCCTGTTTGACATTCATCTCAGCATGTCAGATATTTACACACATTTCTTTATTTTCTTTCTTCTCAAAGATTCAGACGTAGCAGCTTTGGCTGGTGGATGAAATGCTGGAAGGCCGAACTTCTGCTGAGGCTGATTCTCATCAACTCTCCAAATAAACAAGAAAAAAAAAAAAACCTATTTACACTGATTTATAGACCTCTGCGGTGACCGTCGAACGAGATTCGTTTTGTGAAAACACGGCGCTCTGCTTTGAATACCAGTCATGTCAAAAGTATTCAAATAACAGCATCCAAATGAGCTTCCAAACCACCTTCATCCAGCTGCCTCCAGGCTCCAAGGTTTTAATATTTTAATATTTAAAACAACAACAAAAAAATTTAAATTTAGTCTGAGAAATTGAGCGGTTATGAAAAAAGTTCTGCACTAAATCAGAGTATTCCTAAGTATTGAGTAAAGCCGTGAGAGTGGGTTTGCTCTCCAGCTAACCTGAGATAAACAAAACACTCCCAATGTAATAGATCAGCGAGCAAAGCTGGAGAATATCTGCGAGGACGGATCTGACCACGGCGAGGGTTTAGCGTTACTTGAGGACGATCGATGTGAAGCTACACAGCTCGGTCCAGATGGTCCGAGCGGAGGATTAAGATCAGTTCATGTTTAAACAATCTGCCTTTGACTGGCATTTTAGGGTTTTCTGCAAGAGCCCGTCCTATTAAACAGACCATAATCTGCTTTACTTAAAGACCAGCAGGAAGGTGCTGTTTAACAGGTTTACAGCGTTTACATCTGAGGCAACACATACTCGCTCTTTAGAGATGCAGAAGTTTTGAGCACAGTTTGAGCAGTGAGGGACGTCTGCAGACTTCTGTCCAGCGCTCCTTCTTTCTCCTTTTTACAATCAGCTCTGTTAGCGGCGGAGGCACGACTCATTTCGTGTGGGACTTTGTGTGATTTCACATCCACCTGGCCCTACCTGCCACAGATGGCCAGCTGAATATCTTGGCTCCTCTGCTTCAACATGCCTCCTTCATCCTGCCTCCGTTGACTCACGGGCTCAGACAGCCGTCCAATTTTCAACCGGATCGGTTCAGACGCCTCAGACGGACAGCAGAGAAGTAAACGGCTCTCATGCAAATAACACGAGCCCATTTTCTTAAAATGCACTTTACAACTGTTGGCAGTCTGAGACCTGTGACAGCAACAATTAGGCGTCATTTCTTTGTGAAGGCTCAAAGTGAGGAGCCTGACAGGACCGGACATGTGGCTCTTTTTCTGCTTGTACAAATTTGTCATACTTTACATGACTGCCCTTTTCTCTTGGAGTTCATGTCAGTCTGGTATGAAAATGGTTTTTCACAGAATGCCTCTTTAGCCCCTAGCCTTGTGTTCCTACCTGAACTAACCTGTGGAGAGGCAGTTCAGACTGGAGGCCACTCTGTGAACACCTGTACTGCTAAAAACTGTTTTTCTTTATATGTTTGAAGCTTTAATATCATCCATCCTCATGTCACCACTCTAAACACGGATATCTTTGGCTACTGTTTGACGCCTGTCACTAAACACAAACGAATATTAATCCAGCATGTGTATCTTCAGCATGATCACTCAGAATAATGGAGCACAGAAGCAAATAGTCGGCTGGGAACGGGCCACTTGGTCGTAGGTTTAGACCCAACATACAGAAATGTTCTGATCATCAGTCAGCCTGGTTAGAAGTCATCACTAATGACATCATTCCTACAGGATAGATGATGAAGTGTTCAACAAAGACATTTTATTAAAGTCTAATGTTGGAGTTTGTCTTGTTTAAATTATTTTCATTTTTACTGCATATGTACGTTGGATTCCACACATTGGTTTCACTGCATTGATTACTAATGATTGGTATCGGCGGTGACAAATCGGTCGACTCAAGTGAAAATAAAAACAAGAAGTTGAAGTCAAAGGTTGACAGCAGACGTTCTTCAGACTCTCAGTGTGCAGAGAAGAGACACAGAGAACAGAGAACGGCTCTGAGCAACAAAAGGAGGAGGAAGAGAAAAAAAGAGCAAAACAGCCTGAAACTGTGTCATGTCAGCGCTGCAGAGCTGGCTGCAAAGCAAAGCCAAGGAGCTGCTTTTGTCTGCAGGGAGCATGTCTGTTCTGGGACAAGGGCACTCTGGCTCTTCCAGTGTGAGTCTCTGAGGGGCTCTGCTGCAGCCTAGAGACACAGCAGGCTAATTGACGAGTGTTGGGCTTTGTTTTGTCTTGGCAGACTCGCAGCAGAGCTGACTTCATGTTGCCAACGGACAGATGGCGTGCCACGCTGGTGAATGGCCAGCACAAGTACCAGACCGACTCTCAATGCAAGAGTTAGTGTCTCTGTGATCTGGGCCTCCCCACCCCGCCGCATTAGTCACTGGGTCCAAACTGATAATCCGTACAGAGGTTCGCTGTATCTTCAGCAGACAGACGACGGTTCCTGCTCATCGCATTCAGACCAACAAAGCCTCCAAAAACACTCTGGAGGTGCCGTTCTCACTGGTCCTTTGTCATAGCAACAACAAAACATTCACATTAAAGGAACCAAATCTGAATCCTCACTTCAGCAGAGCAGCACATGACCTGGGAGGTGGACTCACATGTGTGGACTGAGTTCGTAGAAGTTCCTGTTGCGGTACTCCTCCACCTTGTCTGGCGTGAAGATGGGCAGGGACCTGTACGGGTTCATGGAGATCACCACGCTGCCAATGTACGTCTGCAGGGGAAAGGGCAAAGAGTTAGTGTCGACCCACATGGCAGGTTTTGTTCAGTTTTGTACAGTCTGACACGAGGCCGGCTTTCACCACCTCCTCCTCCCCCTCTGTCCATTTGGACGTTAATTGAGTCGAGGTGACAGGAATTCTGTTGCTGTCAGTTTTCCCCAGCTGGGTATTCCTCGTGCACCGTCGAGACATGCAGCGCCTGAAGTGAAACTCAAGACACGTAAAAACAAGGAAAAGTCTGGAATCTGTGGGCTGGGCAGTAAACAGCGTTCAGCAGAGGTCACGGCGCTGAGGGAAGGTTTTATTAAGCGTGTGTGCACAAGCATCCTGCTGCCATACCGAGACAGACAGACCCGACTGTTAAACACCGGTGTGAACAGAAACACGTGAAGCTTCATATAAAATGAAAATCTTTCCATTTAGCTGAAGCACTTTCCACTAAAAACAAGCCATATTTCAGCTTCAGTCGGTTATATAATCTGTAATTAAAATGCAAGATGTGAAAGATGTAAACAGTGGGTGTTTAAAAAAATTTAAAAACTGTCAAAAAACACGAAGACCAGAGTTCTCGCTTCACGTTTCACAGAAAAGAACACCTTTATGTAACATTCAAACAGGTCCGGTTCAGCAAATAACACTTGTTAGACATATCTGAAAGCGAATGCAAGCAGCCATCATCTTCATCATCCTCCTCCTACGCGCTAAACACAGCCCAGATAGCACTTTCAAGCATCAACCTGGAACATTTTCTTTTGCTCTCCGTGGTAATGGCTGTTGCATAAGCCACTCTGACAAGAGTGGAGCACGGCCTTCCCTGTGGCAGCACCACAACCTCCCACAGCCTCTCGCTCAATAGCACACCAGAGGCAGAAAGAGGCCTTTTCAAGTGCAGAGGATGGTAACAAAGAGAGAAAGCGTGTGCAATGTAAACAATGCATCACGTGTGGATGAGGGGGCTCAAAGCTGACCAAAAGCAGGAAGAGAACATTTTGTTTTCTCTGTTGAACTTCTGCAGCTCATTAAGAAAGTCGCAACTTGCAAAGAGTCGCATGATTATTTCATGGATCCGTCATAAACACCTCCAAATGAGAGTTTTAAGCCTTTTTACACCAATTTCAAAACAAATTTATAGTCTATAAACAAGAAGAGGAAAAAAGTGAGTTCTTTCCTCATTAAAATGCTTCCACCAGATGCGCTGCATTGTTTTATTTTATTTTTTTCTCATGATTTGAAACAGGGAACAAAGTGAGACTTGGAGCTCTTGTAGTCTGACAGGAGCAGAAATCCCAGTGTTTATGTATTTCTATTCCTTTTCCATTCCTGCTGCTCGCCCGCTGCTAGCATCGCGTACTTCTCTTTTCACATGGAGATTTTTCAGCAATCTTTTGATCTGCAAAAAAAAAGCCAGAGATGGAGGGCATTTTAGCCCGAAATTACAGCTGAAAGGAGTCGTCCATCTGCAGCGTCTGACAACGCACGCAGCCGCCGTACGCATCTCTCTGCTGTATACCGTCTTTCTTCTGCATTTCTACACCTACTGTTGTGCTTGTTATAAAACCCCATCTGTTCACACACCAGAATCACAGCTACGTGGATCAGATGTGCAGCGCCTACAGAACCAAAAAAGTCCATGATATGTATATTAAAAAGAAGTAATACATACATGAATCTGAGTGTTTCTTGAGTTCTGATGAATTAAAAATGGCTGCAGACATGTAAATATTCTAATCTGTCGGCCTGGAAAACGATGACGGTTGTTATAAAATGTCAGAACGTTGGTGAAGTGATTTCAGCGAGTGAAAGCCAATTAAAAACACTTCATCCTGCTACAGGTTTTGTGTGAAGGAAAATGGACTCAGGCTTCCAACAGAAAGCCTCCAAACCTGAGGAAGGAAAACAAGACATTACACGTTACAGCCAGTCGTGCTGCTTCGTGAGCTGGTGGCTGAAGCAGGAGTTGGTGACAAACGCCGACTCGTTCTGCTCAGACACGAGAAGCAGGGCGACGGCTAACAGGGCGATTCGCAGTCTCTTTGATTTTCCGCCGTTATTGGATCCATGATGTGCCGTCCCTCTGGAAGACAAAGCCATGCTTCTTCTGCTGCGAGCTGTCATATGATAGTTTGGTGCGGGGGGATGGAGCCATTTGTAAGGAATGATGCCACATGAGGGGAAAATGCATTCACATGCGAGGGTTGTACACCACAGATTTATTGGATAAGTACAGGCTTCAGAGCTGCTCCTGGTCATCACTCTGGAGGTGCAGCTCACTCCTCCGAAAAGCCTCCATTATGGACTTAAAGCCATGTGATTTACCTTTCCATGAGGTTGTTTTTTTTTTTTTACTTTCATGTGCTGGGCTACATTTAAAAAAAGGACAAAAAAGAAAAAAGGGCAAGATTGTGCACAAGTGAAATGTAAACACCTTCTGATCATGTTTAACTAGATCCTCAGCATTTAGGTCACAGGCAGCACAAAGCCCCGAGCTCAGGCTCCACGACAGGAAAAAAAAAAAATGAGGGCATGTGAAATGTGAAAACATCATTCCCGTTCCTCAGCAGGATGTGGGCTGCTTCTCAACAAAATACCCGGCCTGTCACTAAGGCAATCATCGCGGTACGAGGTGACATCATCCCTGAGCCCTGAGAGCCAACAGCAGGAAGGGCAGAGCTGTAATCATCTGGGCTAGCATCGACAGCAGCCAACCTGCAGGGCACCAGAACCACCGAGAGCCACAGCACTAAGCCCAGAACCGATGTTTTTGATGCGGGGATGACAGTTCAACAGCCCACTTCGCCCTCCCTGCTCTTGAGCTCTGGATTTCATGCCTCATTGGAAGGCACCATCTACATTCCTCTGTGATCTGATTTATTGATTGGCTGGTTGCTGTGGTCTCTGCTTTTGTAACACTTGTACAGCCGAAACAAGGGAGGGAGAGGAGGAACAATGGGAGTTATGGAAAGTATCTGCGCCGTTCCTTGGAGGAGCGTTCTATGGTGGCAGCGCTGTGCCACTGCTGCTGAGCTGAAATACAGCTTTAATCTGTACGCCGGCTGTAAAATAAACCACTTACGTAGATCTCACTGTGGTCAAAACGCTTCCTCAGGTTCTCCAGAAACGAGTCTTCGGACAGGGGCTCCAGGAGGACCATGTCCCCGACCCCGATCATGTTGTCTAGAAGTGACGTCTTCACCTCCATCTTGGCTGCAGGTGTCCCCCCTGAACAGAAACACAGAGGAAGACATGAGGTCACATAAGTTTAATATATAATGTATGTACATCCCAGAAACGCTGCACAACATAGAACATCTGTGACAAAAGCTGACCATGAACCCCACTGACGTCCCTTTGAGGTGGTAAAAAATGCTGTTTTAACCAGTTCTGGCCGCTGGTTTTAACAGAGACCTCCTGTTTGGTTTGTGTTGTACAAACATATAAAGAACAGAATATGTGGCTTCATGTAAAAGACAATCCCAGTGAGGCAGGAAACCGACAACTGCAGGCAGGCATGGATGCAAAAAACGCAAAAGTATTTTAAAAAAACAAACAGAATCAGCTTTGCGTGTCTTGTGTAGAAGAAAATGTACTTTTATGTTCCCGGATGCACACGATGCACGTTAGCGCCGGTCCAGCGTTTCTCTATGACACCCTGGAGGACGTCGCTTCGTCTTCGTCCTGAACTCTGCTGCAAAGTTTTAAGAGGCATTCTGTGATTTGGAAACAAATAGTCCTAAACTTGGCCAATGCAAATAAACTCATGTCAGGGGTGGACATGTTTGTACAGCGGGGGGGTTCGCCTCCAGAGGCACAGCGCGGCCCTCTGATTGGCTGCTCGGTCCCGCTCCCCTGTGGCGTGCCAGAATGTCCCATAGGAAATTACATAACTCAGGAACTTTGCCCTTGACTTCTGGGTGTCTGCTCAGCTGGAGTCTGCTCCTGTTTCAGGGCTTCTTATGAATCAAAGAAGCGGCTCCCCAAAACCGTCACCCGCCCCGGAGCTTCTTCTGTTTCCACCCCGCTCGCTTGTTGCAGCGATATAATATCTGTGGATCTGTGCTGCAGCGCGCCCTGACAAAGGCAGTGCTGGGGGTGGCAGTTTTCAGTCCAGTGCCGCCGTCCGTCTCCTTTGGGACGGTAATCCCAACGCTATGAGTTGGGAGATAAAAGAGGGGCCTGGGATACATTCAGGGCCTTGATACGGGGCTTTGCTGCACCAAAAACCTGATGTCTGCTGCTGTGTACACAAGACCAGTGGATGCAGCCGTCGACTGTTCGCTGCTCTTGTCGTCGCTTTTTGCATAATCAGATCCGTGTTTTGCAACAATTGAAAATGTGGCAGCGATACGGACTTCCAACGCACTGTGATGTTTAAAGGCATCATTAGATGTAAGTGGTAATTAGAAGCAACCACAAAATTAGCCAACATCTGACACAAACAGCACTGGCCTTCGCAGATCTCATCACTGTGTGATGCATAGTTGGAGAGTGAAGACACAGATGTGGCAGAAGTTCATGTGTGGGGATTGAACAACTGGATCAGAGGGCTGATGTGAGATGGGAGTATCGGCAGTCATAACAGGAAGACACAAAGCTCCAACATTTCAGACTTTGTTCTTGAAGCGTACCCCTCTCTCAGCTGTCAAACCAACTTTTAGCAGCAGCTTAGGAACAGCATGACGTTCTGGCAAGAAGAAAAAAGATGGATTCCCTGTGTAGACTTCCATTTCACTCTTTCCCCGGCTCCTGTTCCCCCGCAGGGCACAGTGTTATTGGCCCATAAAGAAGTTGCCCAGCTCTTAGTAGTAGGCAGGAGTCAATTTCCAAAACCACTCACTCTCACACTCAGCATGAAGACAAAATATTTAAAAGGCTGGCTGAGAAAAGAATGCTGCTGCAAAAAGTGATTTATGTTCATTTGTGAGCGACACACTGTAAACGTCCCCGATGATGTCAACAGCTTGATCTCGACTCCGAGGGACGCGCTAAGTAGGGGGAAGAAATATTTGCTTGCTTGTCGACTCGCTGCCCGCTGAGGTCGGTTACTTTGTTCCCATCACATATAGTGCAGCGGTGCCGGCCTGATGGCGCTGCGTCAAGCATTCCCCGTCACGGCTCACGTCTGCCAGCTGCTGCGATTGTCTGCGATGCACTTTCAAATCAAGTTATTTCCTTTTGGCGAAGTCGCCGAATTCTCCGGAGGGATGAAACCGCAATCACCTGCTCTGTGGTCTCACGCCATACGTTATCTGTCTGCAGAGCTTCAGAACGCCGCTGCTTTGCTGCAGAGGTTTTTATTTTATTGCTGCTGCTGTTCAGCACTAAGCCAGAGTTGTTTAGATCATCCTACTTTTTCCACATTTTTCAGTCGACCCTCTACAGTGCATCCTATAGAGCACATAAAGTCTCCAAACACATTACCTCCTAATTGATAATCGACTATCCAGAGCATCAGAAAATGTCCTGCACCGATCAATATTAGTCAAACCAATTACTACCCACTCGTTAATCTGCTGCAGGCCCGCTGCCCGGCCTCATCAAAAGTAAGTGCACACGCATCAAAGTGTCTGTGGTATTAACTAGCGAGCGTTCTAAGGGCCCGGCCCGCTCCACCTCGCTGGAAAACAGACGCCGAAGCCTCTCGCTGACCTGGGGGAGGACACCATGTGGAAATGTCGCCCAAGAGACGGCGCTATTCCGACCAAAAAAATAAAAAACCATACGGCATCTGTCAGCATCCCGGACACCCTCATCCCCTCTGCTGATAACCCACTACCCCAGATTTGAAACTGGCTTCCAGGCAGCCACTGACACAATCCCATTAATAAGAGTTGCTGCCTGCTGCTAAACGCTGTACTGGATCCAAAGAGGGAGAATGAGAGAAAACCTGACAGCCTTGATTAAACTCAGGGGATTATCCTCACTGCTGAGCGCTGGAGAGAGGAGGACTGTGCTCTATATGGTCCATACTGGTGCACAGGATTCTGAGGTTTGAAGGCCTTCAAAGACAACAAACTTGCTGATCTTTTATTGTAATTTAACAAAAAAGCAAAACTTTATCGGCCTTTATCTGAGAGGCTTTGTAATAGTCGTAGTCAGAGGACCTGGATTAGAGGTGTCCCTCTCAGATGCATTTTCACATGTTGGATGTTTCGGAGGTAAACATCAAATCTCGATCTCGTGACTCAGCGATGCAGCGAGACTCCAGGTCAAACGCTCCTCGTCTGTCACCTTCACTGAGCGCGCTCTCCAAAACCTGACTGGCAAAGCGCCCGCGAGTGGCAGATGGCCGATTTACACATCATTTAAATTTGGCACATTAACCTCGTGTAGCAGAAACATCAAAAACATCAGATTCTGTTAGAAAAACTGCATCTTCACTGCACGTTGCAACTCTTGCAAGAACGACGATGTAACAGGAAAACAGACGCTGATCAATCCCTGGTATCTGCTCTCATTGCTCATCAGCTATCAGTAGAAATGCAGATGAACACCATCCGCTGGTTCTCCTTTCTGCAGCGGCCTCATGCGATGCAACACGCTGGGAGGATCAAACACAACACGGCCTGGATGTCAGCGGAGGGTCACTGCTGAGTTACTATTCTGATCTAAGATATACAGTACAAGTCCCAGAATTTAATTTTAAAACCGGACTTTGATCTATAATTCCCACAGATTAAAGTGCTGTATTTAGAGGGGCTAAGTTGCTCAGCAGAAATATAAAACATGAGAGATTTTTATCATCTGAAGTCTGATAGTGAGAGGAGGCCTGGACCTGCCACAGCAATATTGTGAGACACGCTTCGCCTTCATGCCTCTGACACTGACCTAGATTCCTCCACCAGATCAAGCTATGGGGAAAACACGAAAAAACACATTAAATGTACATATATTATTTAAAGGAGCTCGACTGGGGCCACGTGCTGTTGTGTTTTTCTGTCCTGTGCGAGGACAGAAGCCAGAGGAAAGGTCAACACGGCGGCAGGTGCTCCATGCAAACCACATGAGCAGTGATAACACTGAAAGTGGCGCCATCGGAACAGTGTTTACTCGTTAGGACGCGTGTACTTAATTAAAAATAAAGCAGCTCGGAGTGGTGAGCAATTCTGGAAACGGTCAATATCTTCATTATGACCAACAAAGCCGGCTCGCTGTCCATAACGACATGTGGTGTGTGAGAGACACACACACAGGACTGATTGTCGTCACGCTGCCTTGGGAGCGATTGTCTGAGAACACAGTGGTGTCGACATGCAAACAAAACATAATCAAGTCTATTATGCAGCGTAATACTCTGTGAATTTTCCCGCAGATCGCTGTGGCCTTGTCACGGGGCAGAGAAGTCACAACATCACAGGCTGCTGGCAGCGATGCAGATTAAAAGCCTCCCTAATGGAGCAGCAGCAGGCCGTGGGGCTGTGCCAGAGATCAGGGCAGGGCAGAGGGTTTACAGGAGCACAGAGCAAACAGCTGCCTGGAAAGTGACCTGGAATCCAGGCTCCTCAGCACCAGTCCAGGTGTGGATCTGTGCGACAAACTTGTGTTCACTCCTCAAGCAGGTTCATTAAAAAGCTGCACAGAGCAGAAGCATCGTTTGCCTTCTGGTGCATAATGACAGCTATTTAATGACCATCAGAACCATCAGAACCATCCTCACGGGACAACGGCTAAAAACTAGATATAAGCAAACACGAGGTAAAGATCACACAAACGCTGCCTCGTTAGCTCAGTGTGAGCGTTTTCATGCTGGCTGGTTAAACATCAACCTGCAACCCAAACAAACACTGGCCTTTATTTACAATACAGCTCAAACTGCAGGGAGACAAGTCGACGGCAGAACACCAGCCAAACGCTGCCAGTCAACATGAGCGAGTGTGGCACGACCGCACCGTAACGAATCCACCGAGCACACGAAATCTGGACGAGTCAGCATCTAACTATGAGCAATCGGGTCTTTGCTGATCACACTACGAGGTGCCAAAGTCCTGGTAATGTCATCAGAGACTGGGGTGATTGGCTTTTCTGTCTGTGCTGCTCATTCATTTGAGGTGGAGCAGCTCATTTTCACAATAGTTGGGCGACTGCTGGTCAGTCACAGCAGCTCCACCAGCTTCTAGGTACTGTGTGGTCCGTGCTGTGCTGCTGATGAAAACCTCTCTGAGCCAACGAGTGCACTTATGGTTCGTTAGCACACTTGAAACCTCCACTCGGTCACTAACAGGTTCACACAGTACGTTTAAATAATGTACAGATGCAGGATAAACTAAAGGAAAACCTGAACCCTGGAGCCCTGTGGTGAGGTGAGGGGGTTCTGGTGACATGGTTTGAGTCCACTTGTCCCTTTAGAAGGAAGGGTCTCTGCAAATCAACACAAAGCTGTTCTGAGCGACCACCTCTATCCTGTGATGAAACACTGTGGGCTCTTCCAGGATGATAATGCTCCATCCATCCGACACTAGAGGTCACTGAGTGGTTCGTTGATAATGGTGTAAATCACAGTCACCAGGCCTCAGCCCAGCTGAACATATGGGAGACTTTGGACCACCACCATCCAATACCTTGTGGAGGAATGCTGTTGTACCTCCGCAGCAGACTTTCAGACACTTGGAGAATCAATGCCAAGGCGCGATGACTCAGCTCCAGTGGCCCGTAGTGGCCCGACACCTCACTACGGTACTTTGGGTGTGTTCCAGTATCCATACTGGGATCCTATAATGTACGCCTGAAGAAGATTTAGTGTGCAATACATGATATATCAAATGTGCCCAAAACACCAGGATGCCCTTCTACAGCAGGATTTTCTGATCATTCTGGGCGACAACCTTCTGCACAGTGACGTCACAGCGTCTTGCACGAGAGCTCGATGGCAGGCGACAGCTCACTTCACACCACAGACTGCAACAGGCTAAGCTACAGATAAATAAAGTAAAAAAGAGAAGCAAGCAATTTAGGACGGAGCATTCATAGAGCCTGTATTTGCCTCTCAGACTCGTGTCTCAGCAAACCAGAGTTTTTGTGTTTATACTCAGGACAAACTAAGGTGAATGGTGCAACACAGCTGATAAGCTATGATGGCTTCCTCTATGGCCTCTGGCCTTCTGCTCCCTCAAAGGTCAGACGGATGGATAAGGGCCCACAGTGGAGCGAGGGAGTGAGCTCCATGTGTAAAGAATGTGCACTGGTTTACTTCCAGTTATCGCTGCTACTCCACTGGAATACTGTGGGAGTGACTGCTTATGAGGGAAGGCCACCGTCGATCAAACATGTTCTGATGAAGGACACAAGCTGAGTGTTCAACTCTTTATATATATAAAACTGAGCTTAAAGCATAAGTTGGAAGCAGGTTTCCCACTCTTCCATTCTTCCATGTTGGCTAGAGGGGCTCAGAAGCCCGTCTGCAGCACTGAGAGAACCAACATGTGGTCAAATTGTATTTTTCGTTTAGGAAGGTTTCCAGCTGAGCGGCAGCAGTGATAGAAGAGGGTCAATTTCTCTAAACGCTCAGGAGAGGTGCTTCACTGCCTGATTTCTTATCTCCTTTAGGACACATTGGTCCATCTCTCACAAAAGGCAAGGAGATAAGGCTGTCCCACAATTCCTTGCAGCAGCAACAATCAGAGCGACGAAGCATCCACAGCAGGCCCACGTCAACGACATCTGCATGGTTACACAACCCAGGGTCTGATTGTCTTTTCCTACGTCCTGCTCCTTCACATCTCTCTGGATCGACCCGCTGAAGCCTGTAAGCCTGATTTTAACTTGAATCACCCGAAAAAAGTGGCAGTTAACTTTGTAGTAGGCGACACAAAGCATTAGCTGCACAGCCGGCGTGTACAGCTGTAAAGGGATTAGAGAGGCGAGCCGTCTAAACAGCGGCAGGTCCAGGTAATTTGGGACAGAGCTCTGACTCAATGCGACGACACGCATCCCGACGGAGGGATTTATTGAGGCTATTAGGGTGGAGTTTTACAATAAAGAACAGAAAAAACTTCTCCTCAGGGCTCTCTGTTTTACACATTTATCGGCTCTCTTGTTTCTCCATCGTTCAGGAACTCCACCAGTAGCTTCGCCTCAAAAGTGATTAAACTTATGGGCTATTAAATAAATGCACACAGGAGGAGAGCGGGAGTGTAACCGTGTACATCCAGCGCCGTCTGCACGACAGCCAGTCCAACACTCGGTCTGGCTGCCTTTTATTCGAGCGAATGGAGAAAGCAGCTGCACTGGATTTGACAGAGCAGTGAGAGAAATCAAACTGTACAGCATTATTACCCCCGGCTCTTTAGGGAGACAAAAGAAGTGAAGTTTAAGCAGTTAAGTCGAACTGGTGGAAAAATGTCGAGAGCTAAACGGCACGGGGGGAAAGTTCTTTGTTGGGATGGCAAACTTAGAGACAAAGTGTGAGTTTTACAGTCTTTCAAGTGATGTCAAGCAGGAGAGGGGGAAGAAATCACAACGAGATCTGATTTATCGCCATGTTGACGGAGCTGGAAATGGAAGTGTGTGTCATTCACAGGACTTCTGATGCTTCAGAAAACCCTTGTGCAAGACAAGTTGAAGGTTTTAACACAGTGGAGCTGAGTCCATTTGCCCCCCCAGTGTATCTCTGTTGATGCAGGACTAACAGGACGCACGCCTCCCCACAATAAGCCACACAGGCAAAAAAAATAAAATGCAAACAGCATTCATCACCATGGCACCGGCTGGGGGGGACTCTGGTCCTCTGCATGAGACCACAGCATCTCTCACAGTGTTCACCAAGAGCCTTTCTGGCACGTTTAAAAAATACTGTGGCAACTTGGTGGAAGCCGCCCAACAAGCTCACGCTGAGCAGAGGAACCAGAATGCCCCTGATCCAGCCCAGCCAAACGCCCGGTACTTTTTCCAGGAGTCTCTCTGCGGCTCTGAAAGCTCACCACGCACTACCTTTCACATCATCTTACATCACTGTTTGTTTGATCAGTGCGGGTAATAAAGTTCCCATCTGGTTTCCCGACTGACAAGCGGGCCAAAAGAGGTGGGACGGACTCGGGGAAAACCACAAAAGGGGAAAGACACAAGTCATTTTTTCTCTCTCTCTCTCTTTTCTTTTTTGTTGTTAAAGGTCTTTTCTGATCCTCTTGGGACCTGGAGTTCACCAGTGGACTCAGAAGTTAAAAAGCTGCAGGATTCAAAGAAGCACAGAAAAAGATCTGGCATCAAAGGGCGATGAACTCAAAGCCGTGGCCCCATACTGGTGAAGCATGAATATTTTCAGACGGAAAATGTAGAAAAATGCTCTTAATGGATTCATGCACAAATAGGCTTTAAAACGCTGCATTTGAATTATGCATCAAAACATATAGAAAGCAGTTTCTTTGCAGCACTACATTCACATTTGACATTGTTTTCCTACAGCATAATGACAGTATTTAACATCACACTGTACTGAATGTACTTTTTCTTCCCATGCACTCGTCTTGTATGAACTCCAGACGGGATCCCGCAGGAAGCCTCCAGCACAAAGTAAGCGGGTCGACTTTGTCAAAGGGGGAAACTTTGGGATGTTTCTCAGGGAGGTGAATAGTTTTATTCATGCAGCCCAACGCTGAGCAGTTTATTCATTGAGATCTGTTAAACCCAGAGCTACACACTGAAGGGCAAACCCACCTTCATCCACCATTTATGATGACATTGATTTTTTTTTCAGCCTATATCCAGGTTTATCCACAGATCACAGAGCAGATAATGTAAAGACTAGCTGTCCTTTGCCTGATCCCCACAGCTTCATCTGTCCCTGCTCACAAACAGCCCCTCATTCAGACTACTCTGCATCCACACTGGAAAGTTTGATGACAAAGCCTGAACTCTGAGAGCTGACATATGCTGCTGTCTCCTGGGTCGGGCTCTGGGCTCTGCTGGATTACAAAAGACTGGTTCTCTCCTGCAGATGTAGGCAATTAGAGAGTTTTCATCAAACAGCCGCTCAACGAGCCGGTGAGAGAAATAAACAGCAAAACTCGGACTTCATTAAACCCACCAGCTTCATCCTGCAACCATTAGGACTGGCTCACAAAGAAACGGGAAGATACAAAAAAAAAAAGAAAAGAAAAGCTCCCAACCCCCTCCTGTACCGAACTGAGCAGGAATGAATGAGTTTAGAAGCAGCAGCGATGTGAAGGCGATGGAAAGTTAACTTTTAGAGAGTTGCCGTGAATGCAACAGAAAACCTCACAAAAAGAAGCAAGAAGCGGTTCAAGCTCAGCAAACAGGACTCCCAACTTGCCTCTTTATCTCTGCAAGAGCTGCTCCGTCTGCTCCTTATATCCCACTCCAAGGACAAAAAAAGAAAAAAAAAGTAGATCCAGGAGTGATTCTCCAAGTGTGGAGCGGCTCCTGAAGCCCTTTCTCTTCCCCCCGCGTGTCTTCACTTCAAACTGGGCTGTGCTGCTGGATGAGGCTCGGACGAGGCTCTCATCCGGATCTCGGCACTTTGAATGGAGCTCTGGATGGACTGGAGAGCGCTGGATGGTCTGCCGGGCGCAGGGAGTGGCTGGAGCGGCGTCTCTGGGCTCGTCCAGAGTCCCCTAATCACCTCCAGCGCAGGGGGGGGTGGTGCCTTTAAATGCTGTCGGAAATATGAGCTTCTCCCACATGAGGGAGTGATTATGTGCAAATAAGGCACTGCTCATTTCACAGACTTTTAAATCTAAGCAGCATAAAAATATATATAAATATATATCTTGCGTGGTTTGCTTTTTGAAAAATGATGACTCAGCTGTGGATGTGGGAGGGTTGGATGGAGGTGTTCACGGTAAAGATTTCTTATAATTAAGCTAGCCTGGAAGTATGTATTAGGCTAGACTCGGATAGCTGTATTAGCTCAAAAAACAGAGAAAAAAGTAAGTTTTGTGGGAGCAGACGTGTTTAGAGAACTTCCTGGAAACAGAAGCAAGATTTACGAGGCGAGCGTCAACGCAGCACAAAGTTTTCCTTCATCCCAGAGACAGCTAGCCTCCGCCATCCGCCCGGCAGGCAGCACAACACCCCCCTCCTGTGTCTTAATTCCAGATAGCAAGGACTTGTTGACGAGCATTTAGGGACACCAGCCCCGGGTCAGCTTGCTGTGTAAATATGACGGACTGGGACCAGTTCCTCGTGGCCAGGAAGTTGTTCCTGTTGTAGTTTTTTGGAACATTTCTTCCACACTTTTGCAGATTGATGCGATTTGTTGTTGATTTACGAGGACTGTGGTTCCGTTAGCTGCCCCTCAGTGTTAACAAGCAGAGAAGCATCGCACTCATCCTGCATTAAATGCTGATTACAATTCATGCGTCAGTAATTTCTTAGTTTTTAACCACCTAAATTCTTCACACGACCCAAATAGCTTCTGTCAGTGCGCATGCGCCGCAGCTTCCTCCTCCCCAGACCTGATTGTACTGGAGTGCAGTTGAACTAGTTTTTTTTTCACGGACTGATTTTGTTCATAAAGAGGATTTCGGTGAGTCACTGGTTGGTTTTTGTTTGTTTGTTTCGTGTAACCTAGCGCTGGCACCCTATATGTTTAACCTGTCACTGCGTCAGGTTAAATAAAGGGGCTGTGTATAGCATCATGCTAGCTAGCTACCTAGCTAGCATTAGCCGGTGTTGTCGGAAGTGAGATACCTCGAGTGAACTCTGGAGGATTTAGCTGTTTACAGTGTCAGTTTGTCTTAGTTTGTCAGGTCTCGTTTAGACAGTATTTTTTTTGAATATACGTAGCGTCGTGTCGTGTTTCGTGTCCTAACAGTGATTACCGTTAGACCAGCGTCCACATCTCTGCTGTTAGTAGGATAGCTTCTGTCCAGCTAGAGGGACCCTTAGCAATGCTAACGCTGGTGGTACCATTAAACTGTAATGACATATGGCATTAATGTTGTTGTCAGTGATGTACACCCAGCTGTGTAGGCTGACAGCCCCCTCCTCCCAGCTACATGGCAGCCAGAGGAGTGATGGAGGAGTGATGGAGGAGGCTAACGTCGGTCACGAGAGCTCCACCAGACGCTGAATAATGCATGAGTGGATGGAGGTGGACAGATGGAGCTTGTTGTTTCCTAATCGTGACCTTATGTCTTCCAGAGAGTCTTTTATGAGTAATCAAAGGCAGCAGAAGCCTACGCTAACAGGCCAGCGTTTCAAAACCCGAAAAAGAGGTGAGACACTTGAAGGCAGCACTCACACACTTCTGCAGGTCAAACACATGAATGTATGATGTTGTGTTGGTGCTTCTCCCACAGGTCCCACAAAGTCCCCCTGCCTTACTGTGCCCCAGCTTTTCATACCACTGACCTTTCTATCCACTACGGTGTGCTATTAGAGATGAAAATAAAAAAATATGAACAGAAACTTGCATTTCCAATCACCGCCAAAATACTAAACAGGATTCAATATCTTTGAAACTGGTGTTGTGTTTTCGCTTCCACTAAAGGGCAGCGACAGTTAGTGAATATAAAGGTACTGGCCTGGACCAGGGGCAGAACAAGTGCATTCATATGTTGATGAACTCAGTGCGGGTCTGGGCTTCATAGTGCATCATGTGAGCATCGATAAAGTATGTAAGGATGTGCAAAGGTCCCATGGCAGCAGGTGCATTGTAAAGCAAAGCAAGTCAAACATATAATGCTACAACTTTTTTAGCTGCTTGATACTGAAAAAAAATATTTACACAGTTCTCATTTTCCCCAACTAATCTACAAGAGAAGTCGGTTTCAGAACATGATTTACTTGGATACACAATTAAAAACAGAAAACTATTTTCCACAAAACGTGGGTTTGTTGACGCGCTCGCTCCACACATGAGGAACACTGGAGAAGAAGATTTGGTTGCAAAAGAGAAATGCGACGTGAGTTGTTTGGAAACTACAGAAATGATCATGTCGACTGAAAACAGGTGTTCTGCCACCAAATGAGGCAACGCCACTGATTTGTTTGAGCAGTTAAATCAGCACCATAAAGCCCTGTATAAGGGCGGAGCCACATCTGAATGCCATCTAAAGCAGAAAAAAACGTCTTGAATGCTTTTACCAGAGAGGCTCCAAACACTAATTTTTGCATTTAAAATAGTTTTTATTTTTGATGTAAATGCACTTCTCTGCACAGTAATCCCAGTCATTCTAGAATAGTTTATTTTTTTCCAAGCAGTTGCTCAACGTCTGTACTAAACGTGTGTTATGAAGGCTGTCCTATAATCAGTCAGGTGGCTGCAGCAGGTGCGTCTGCAGTACGTAGTTTGTGCGTATTAACACTGTAAATGTAAAAGTGCATCAGTTTTGTCAGCCCTTTTACCCAGACATGTGTCATAATGTGTCTGGATATTTTCTTAACTAAACTACTGGAACTACTTTTTATCCAACAGCTTCCACTTCAGAGCCTCCATCAGCCTGTCTGCATTTATCTCACAGCATCAGCCGACGCTTACCCAGTATCTTTATCCTTATATATAGTTTACTGTAGTTTGTTACCTGAGTCGATGAAAGAAACAGAAGCGACAACAAACCTAAAACAAACGCTCACTGTCCGGTTCTGCTGTGCATCCGCTGCACATGTAGCTGCTAATATATATGTTCTACGGTGCATCTGCTCCCTGTGTTTAGCGTAGCCGCAGCGTTATTCAGGTCATCTGGTGAAAGTTGCTGTATTCCTTCACATCTCAATGTGTGTCACAGAAAAACAAATTATCACAATGTCAGTCTTTTTCAATGTCATGCAGCCCTAATATGGTTTCAGCAGGGATTAACTTGATTTACTTTGTCTTTCCAACAGATGAGAAGGAGAGGTTTGACCCTTCCCAGTTTCAGGAAAGCATCGTACAAGGTCTGAACCAAACTGGCACTGATTTGGACGCTGTCGCAAAGTTCCTCGATGCCTCTGGTGCCAAGCTTGACTACCGACGCTATGCCGAGACGCTGTTCGACATCCTGGTGGCTGGTGGGATGCTGGGTGAGTGGCAGCGCCGGCTTTTCAAATACATGTTTAAAAGAAGGATTATTGTTACGGTGGCAGTAAAGTCGGTCTGTTTCCAAAGTTGAGCAATATCTGTGTCATCAAACTTGTCCTGGCCAGAGTAAGTAGAGCGTTGTGCCTGCAGTTGTGTCTTGATTTTATAACAATAGTTACTGCAATTAAGGCACGTTTCATTAAAAAGAATAAAACTTTGTTCGGTTTTAAGCTGTTGAAGGGATGTATTGTAAAAGCTGAAGCCTCTTATTGGTGCCGTCAGACTGACAAAAAAAATAAGATGTGTTTCTGCTCAGCCCCAGGGGGAACTCTGTCGGACGACGTGACCTGCACTGACTTCTGTCTGTTCAAAGCACAAGAAGACATGGAGACCATGCAGGCGTACGCACAGGTGAAGACCATCTGGTCCCTGCCCAGTTTACTCTGTTATCAGAAGGAAGTTAAGCACCTCGTTCTTCCCTACAAATAATGAAACGTGTTTTGTTTCTCACTTAGGTCTTTAACAAGCTCATCAGGCGTTACAAATACTTGGAGAAAGGATTTGAGGAGGAGATCAAGAAGGTTTGCTTTTCTGTTCAAGGCGTCTTCACAGGAACGTGCACTCTATGTCCTGATCACGCCTCTCAATTCATAACTAAAAGATAATAATGTGACTGAATTCAGCCTTCAGGATGATGTTTTTTACTGTTTGGCAGCTGCTGCTGTTTCTCAAGGGCTTCACAGAGTCTGAGCGCAACAAGCTGGCCATGCTGACGGGAATCCTGCTGGCCAACGGCAACCTCTCTGCATCCATTCTGAGCAGCCTCTTCAATGAGAACCTGGTCAAAGAAGGTACGCAGGTTTATGCTTCGTAGTTGTGCGTAGTCATGTTCGTTGTTTTAATCAAAGATTTGAAATATATATATGTAAATGAGGCTTCCTCATGCCATCCTGAATGCTTCTAGTCTATAAGCAGCAGAGGGATGGGCGATCATGCAGACAAGTGCTGAGAGGAAGAAGCTGTTCATTTTAATCAGACACTGTGGAAAAGCCGTGGATGCCTCCAGTCATGTTTGTTTTCAGCTGCTGAGAAAGATTCATTCAGTGTATTAAAAAGAAGCTGTTTAGATCTCAGGTTTTATGAGTCATTTAACAGGATGAACACACATTCAATTAAGGGAATTGAATTGTCCCTCCATTGGTTCAACGTCGTTATTACGATCCTGTTCTCCCGTTTGAGTCGACCGGAGCTTTAAGCGGTGACGTGTGATGCTACACACACATGTCTCCATTAACGTATTGTTCTGAAGGATAAGTGTCGTAAGCAGGCGACTTTCTGATAACGAGAGCGTTTTAAGAGAATATTTGGGGACAAGTGTAGCGATCTACGGTCCAAAAACTTTATTCCAAAGACAGAAATGCAAACCGGCTTCTGGCTGTGACGCACCAGACCAGCTGCCAGCAGAGCGCAGCTCCTCAAACTAAAGCTCGATCACAACTTGAGTGTTGAGGCCATATTGGTGGTTTAGTTTTGGAAACATCTTCTTTTCTTTTTGGTAACCAGGATGATGTTTCTGCTCCGTCTTAATCATATATTCGGCTCCTCTCTGCTGCAGCTGCTCTACTCGGTTAGCCGCTGGACAGCGTGCTTCGTGATAACCGCATATCGACGATATTCTGACACTGCAGCACAGAAACTATGCACGTTTTATTCCAGCATGACAGGACAGAATGAGTTAGCTGTTTCTGTGTGTAATCCCCTCACCACGGTGCCAGCAGGACTACGCAGAGACAACATACACGAGCCAATAGGAAAGTGGTTTAATTAGTTATTTGGATTATGAGTTAATAATGTCTGGAAAAAAGGTGCCTGTGGTAATGTGCAGCTTTGCCCTACTTTGCCTGGGTTCTCTTTAGCTCGTAGCAGAACAAAAGAACGGCCACAAACAGCTGGTGGACATTAATCCAGCGTTTCCAGCGGCTGGTCGCTAAAGTCATGTTGCATTTTGTTCAGATGTACAGTCGTGTTTAATATACCTTTGGTCCAAACTTCATCTTTTCCGTGGCACTGTTCCAGATAAAAGCTGTGGGATGTTTGCTGTGGTATCACTCAGGCTTAACTTTATCCTGGCAGGTCTGTTTGGAACAGCTGACACACACTCTTATGCATTTGTTCAGGTGTTTCAGCATGCTTTGCTGTAAAACTCTTCAAATCCTGGCTTTCTGAAAAGGACATCAACTCGGTTGCTGCCAGTCTCCGAAAGGTTGGCATGGACAACAGGCTTATGGTGAGAACGACATCTTAAATACGAAAGCTTTCCAAGTCTGCAGTGAGGCAGCGTTTCTGTGCTGGGTCGGGCTCCACAGCCTGTCAGTGCATTGTAAATAAGGTGTTCTGATGACGATAAAATTAATGGCCTGTATGCATAACACGGTTCCAAACTACTGTGGCATTTGGCACGCCGACAACTAATGACCGAAGGCCTCTGAACTGCTGATGTGGGTTTGTCTGGCTTGTCTGGCCCAGTAGGATCTGCTTCAATATTTGACTGTGTGATTTTCAGGAACTGTTTCCTGCCAACAAGCGCAGTTGTGAGCACTTCTCAAAGTACTTCACAGATGCCGGGCTCAAGGAGCTTTCAGATTTTGCCAGAAACCAGCAATCCATAGGTGCTCGCAAGGAGCTGCAGAAAGAGCTTCAGGATCAGATGTCACGTGGGGACCCCCTCAAAGATGTAAGTCCTGTTAGTGTCGCAGCTTCTTTCACACCAGCCCAGTGTCTTTTTGTAGCTCACCGCCTAAAGTAACGCTTAAGACCGCTTCCTTCTTGACCTGCGCCCCCTTTGTCTTGAGTTGTGCTGAGAGAAATGGAGGCAGTGAATCAATGACAAGTTCCCAGAATCCACTCAACCTGAACATATTATCTGTGCCTGCAAGGCTCCGTATCCTGCCAGGCTTCTCATGCCTCAGACGTCTGCAGGATTTGATAAGCAATAAGCTGCGCCATATGCTGGCTGTGGTCTGTCTGCGTTGTCAATAATGTGCGCTCCATCTCTGGGCTCGGGTCTCGCAGATCATCGCCTACGTCCGAGAGGAAATCAAGAAGAACAACATATCGGAGCAGACGATGATTGGACTAATCTGGTCCAGCGTAATGAGCTCCGTGGAGTGGAACAAGAAGGAGGAGCTCGTCACAGAACAAGCCATCAAACACTTAAAGGTGACGCCTCTGCTGTGTGTGTCTGCTGTTATTCTGTGTCAGTCATGACGACACGTAGGCAAACGAGAGATCTAAAGAAACGTACGGATGTTGCTGTTAAATTGTGCCTCAGAGATGAGTCGACATCCAGGCTGCTGCAGGCTTTGAACTTAGCAGAGAAGATAATTGATTTACCCAAAGCTATTCCACCAGCAAAGTGGAAGTAATGTGAGAAATCAGAGCGATATGTTGAGTTTCCCTCCCACCACTTGCGTGAAACTTTGCGATTTCTGCACTCGCACGTCTCTAATTTCCCTGTTTTACCTTCTCAGCAATACAGCCCGCTGCTGAAGGCTTTTACCTCCCAGGGCCTCTCTGAACTCACGCTGCTGCTGAAGATCCAGGAGTACTGCTACGACAACATCCACTTCATGAAAGCGTTTCAGAAAATTGTTGTACTTCTCTACAAAGGTGAGTTAAATCTGCCAATAAAGCTCCTGTTTCTGTCTCCACATTTGAGGAGAAGTTAGTTTTGTGGTGGGAAGCGACGGAGGCACGTGTGTCTGGCGCCAGATGGCCGGAGATTACAGCCAAAAGTTTGTCTTGATTGATGTCATCAACCTGCTTGGCGACATTTGTTTCTCAAGCACCTGCGGATGCATCTGTGCTGCTGGCGTCATGTTGAATAGATTTTTTTCTTTCTGTGTTCTTTATTTATTTTTTTTAAAGCGGATGTTTTGAGCGAGGAGGCGATTCTGAAGTGGTACAACGAAGCCCACGTCGCCAAAGGGAAGAGCGTTTTCCTTGAGCAGATGAAGAAGTTTGTTGAATGGCTGAAGAACGCAGAGGAAGGTAGGCACCTCCGTCTCCACAACTGTAGGCTGCCAACAACACGGCATTCATCTCCGGCTTCTCTTCTATCTGAGTTGCGATGACACGGTGTTGGTAGATGTCTGGCCACACCGCTGACTGCTCTCCTCTTCTTGTGTTCCAGAGTCTGAGTCTGAGGAGGAGGAGGCGGACTGAGGACCGGCTTCTACAACCGTCTCAATTTGTATTTTTAACTTAACATCAGATGCAGTACAAGAGTTTGTTACAGAAGTCTGTCTATACTGGGTTTTTTTTTCTATCCTCTACCTCCTCATATAATTCAACTGTAATGTAAGGGCTTTAATATGTTTTGTTTTTTTTCCGACATGCTTTCTGTCTGAATCAATACTTGTACTTTTCTTTCTCCTCCTTCAGGAGCCAGTCACAGTGCCACATTTAGCTAAATAGATTGAAACCTCTTTCATGTAACAAAGCTTTTATGGAGCGATTATTCCCTTTAAAATTAGCCAGTTTGAAGGCACATTTCACAGCTATTGTATTTAGTCATGGAACTCCTCTTTGCCAGAGGTCCATCTGTGTCGCCACGATATGCTGGTCCTCTGAAAGGCAAATCCGTCTCTGCCAGTTATGTGACAACTTTGAATTTATTGCCAGTTTTTAGATTCTGTCTCCATTATTGGCGATGGAGCTGTGCCAATTCAAACAGCAGTGGATGGCAGTGCCACCCCATAAATTGAACTTCCCATGCATCTCACATAATAGAGCCATGCTAGCTTTGTAGGGTTTCCCCCCTTTATCATACATTTGAAATAAATGGAAATTAATGGCTTTCATTCCTGCTCTTTTTATTTATTTGGTGTGAACGTGCTGAGGCACATATTAGCATCTAGTGTCTGTCATTGTGCCCATCCAGCGATATGGAAAGAGTTCCAACGTACAGAAATTCAACAGCGTTCGTCTGTTGTGCTACAGAATCAGCCTGTGTTCCTTTCAAATTTTCCACTGGTTGGTCTCCCCTTGCCTCACCTAATCATGTAATCAAGAAAGGCAGCCCGGCATGCGTGACCTGAGGTGCAAACAACGATCTCAGTCACTTCACTTCTATCCCACTTTAAATGGTAATTATGGCTCAGTCAAGCATGCAAAAATGAGAGTGTGATGGTGATTCAAGATGTTATGAAAATGGAAGTCCGTGCACATTCATTAGGACGAGTCACTTCACCGAGTCTCAAAAACAGACCGCTTATTCTAATTCTGCCCAACCAGAAAAATAATAAAGAAAAGAAGACCAGGATTTTTGAGTGTACGTCCTGAGTCAGAATCAGATTTATTACCAGGAATAGTTCACACAATGCGAGGACTTAGTTCTGGTGGGTCGCTGCAACAGTAAATATAGAGGAAAAGATTAAAATAGCTAAAAAATAAAAGTCACTAAGAATAGAAATAACTGTAATCGTGCAAAGCAGAAGCAGAAAATATTGTGTCGTACACGGCGAAGCATCGCTTCATGAGAGCATCGCTGGTATCTTCCACATTAAAACGACTCCCTTCAGCGCCAGCTACCGCACCCACAGTTTCTCTTAAATGCTCTCAAGTGTTTGTGGGACGAAGCCGAGTCAGAAGGAAGCTGAGTGACTGAATAAGAACCGGTTCCACCCGGGTCACAGTTGTCCAAACACGGTGAACCACGTCCACCGGTCCCAGTGACCAGACAAAGGAACAAACTGCAGAGCATCACAACCATTATCAGCTGATCATCAGTTTCACTCGGCACCAACAGATGGCAGTACGTCCTTAAGAGACGCTTCCTCCTCCTATTAAAGCCTTCCAGAGTTTTAGAGTGGAGCTCAAACAGAAAATGCCATTTTGAAGTAATCAGACTAGAAAGTATTCGACACAGGCAGAAGTACAAAGTATCCGACACGAGTGTTTTCTCTGCCTGCGCGTCCCACGAGGATGTGTTTGCCTTTTGGTTTTATTTAGTCGCTCTAAAGAACATGAAACAATTTGGGAGAGTGACATGCCAGCAGGGGGAACACGACTGCTTTTGAGACGTGTGAGAGTGTGTTGGTGTGTGTGTGTGTGTGTGTGTGTGTTGGTGTGTGTGCGGCGCTGAATGGCAGCGATGCCCTCCAACCCCACCTCTCACTGTGCAAAGCGTTGGCAGTAGCATGTTGGTGGGACTGTTATCTGCTTGTTACCAGCGCCGGCTGCCTCCACACGCAGAGCTCCTCCCTGCGTGTTACTGTGTGCCGGCTCAGAGCAGGAGGATGCTGGGCTATAATGAGCTGCCCTGACACATCTGTTTGTTTTGCTTATCTGCCATTTTCAGCAATTAGATATGTTGCTGGATTTACAGTAAGTGTTCCACGGCTTGCTGCTTTTCTTTTTTATTTCCCCTCCATAGGTTTATCTGTCAAGGTGCAAAAACCGGCGGCTGCTAAACATCCTGTACAGACTCTTCCCTGGGTGACAGCAGGCCGGAGGTGTCTGCCGTCTCTTAGCGCCTGTTGTCATTTCATTATCCTAAAGCTTTCACACAGAAACGAAAATAAAATGTTCTCTTTTTTTTTTTTTTCTTTCTTTCTTATTTCCAATGACATGAAAAATGTGTCAGAGGAAAATAGAAGAACATTGACTTAATTTATTTTTGGAAATTTCTGTCTCAGTCGGACTTGCTGCTTAAACTGAGCAGAGCAGCACAATGTGCCAGGGGATGCCAGGGGAGCTGTGGAGAGCAATTATTCTGGATTTCACACTGCGGCTTTGGTCAGTAAACATGACTCAGACTGCAATGCAGAACTCATCTGAATAATGCTGTCAGAAAACAGAGGGAGACGGGGCAACCGCTCGTTTGAATGAGAAGAGAGAGACTTGAGATAATTACTCAGTTTTCAACTAAAAATACGACCCCCCTCCAACCGCGTCGTAAAGTGCTGAGCACAAAAGATGCGCTGTTTGGGTTGTGGGCGCGTGGTAAGTGATATCGCTTTGCTTCGCATTTCCAGCAGCATCGTGTCACAGGCCAGGCTTTTTTTTTTACTTCAGTTCTGCTGCTATTGTGTTTGTAGGAGGCCGCCCTGACGCTGGGCTTAGCACCAGGTGAAATATGGAAACCAGGATCAACACGTTGACTCGCTAAATGCCGCCAATTTGTCCCGACGTCAACTTCTGCAGAGCATCCTAAAGCCTCCCAGCCGCAGACAACCGAGCACCTCCGTGACAGGAAGCAGCTGCTAAGCTCTTAAAACCAAGAGGGCTCAAGAGTTTTTGAGTAAAAGGCGGCCAGACGCTGTTGTCGGTCAGCTGTCATCAATGCTGTTGGTCTCCGTCCCTGGAGGCGACGCGAACATCCTCACCGGCTTCGTGTCCTGGAGGCAGACGGCATATGGCTGCCTTCTTTAAACCCGACAAGGTTATCCATCTCACATAACGCTCTGGTTTCAGAGGAAGCTTAATTAAAGACGACAACTATGTAGTTAGTACCCAACAGTTTCTGGGCTTGGTCTCAAAAAAAAAATAAAAACACGTGCCGTAAAAATCTAGTTTTTAATTGATTTTGAAAATTGGCAACTGATCCCTAATGTTATTTATACACCTCCTCTATTTACACAGGCGGAAGGTTTCTGGTTGATCGACTGAACCGTTAAACAGTCGGATGTGATGCCGGCGTTATGAATCAAGCTCTTTATGTCAAACTGGTTGGATCCAGGTGAGAAAGAACTTATTGCACAGTATATAAAGGATGCACAGAGTCCAGTCAGGTTATCATACGCTGCCAACGCTACAAAGGTTTATCTCACCTGGACTACATCTCATGTTTTCAGATTTTCTTTGTGGATTCCACCGTTTGTCTTTCAAACATTCATGTGATGTTGGAGAGACTGAAGGTGTCTTATTTCTGAAAACACTGATCTATACTGTACAGATACTGGTTTATGGTATTTGGACAGTCACAGGGAACATCTGCTTCCTGGAGAGTCTGTTCAGTCATCGTCGCCGTGCCAACGATTTTCCTGTCACACAAGACGAGACTACCAGCTCCCTTTGCCATTTTTAGGTTTCCCTTTTGTCATTTTCTGAGTCCACCCAACTGCCATCGACGTTCCTCTGATGAATGTTTGCTTTTCTTTCCAGCCACAGCGTCGTCTTCAGCCGCACGGTCACCTCTGTCCACCCGTCCACCTCAACCTGAAGGGCGATTCTCAATCATCTCTGAGTGCCAGCTCGGTTTTTTTGTGCACCAACACTGAAACAAGTCAAATCTGCCCCAGAAATACTGAGCTGCTAAACCTACAGAAGGAGATGTCGTTTCAATCAATCAGCAGCACAATCAGAAAGGTGCAACTCTGGCAGAACTGACTTCTAGTTGGGAGAGTGCAGCACAGGAGTTGCTCAGGGTTCAGGGATCTGGTGGTCACCACGGCCCCAAATGAGAGCATCTTCATTCCCTAAAAGCTCCTCTGCCGGCTTATGGGGGAAGCTCTGAGTGTGTGTAATGGCCTGGCTGTGAGAGTCCAGGGATTTAGCAGCTAGACTTAAGTCAACACTGAGGCTCATCACAAACATCATTACTTTCTCCTGGCTTGTCCTTTTCCCTCTTCAGTGGCCCAGGTCTGATAGCTGTGTACAAACGGCTGGGCGCAGAAGGGATGGATGGCCTAGTTTGATAAAGAACGATCGACTCAAGGGTTGCCATTTACCGGGTAAGTGCTCGACTCTGGCTCCATACGCCGAGAGAAAAAAAAGCTTTTATGGCATCTTGTAGAGACGATGGTATTACGATCTCAGCGGCCGCCGCTCACACTGCTTATTCAAGAGTTTCTGCTGATTATTCATACATCTAATCATTGTCATCAGGGCCCAACAGGCCACCGCTGGCGCTATGGTGGCGGCGTTGGGCTGGAGCTGTGCGAGAAGCGAAGGGGGAAGGGGTGGGCATTCTGACAGAGGCCTCATGGGAACACGGGAGCTACATCACAACACTTTGGCTGTGACAAACCGCACTGATAACTTGCAAATGGAATGAAAGTTTGCATCTCCAGAATGTTTTTAACGAGTCTCCCTGGAGTGCAGCATAATGACTGTGACTCTGGAAGGGAGAGAGGGAGGCATGTGCTCGGTCTGCACGCCGCTCGCTGCTTTCTTTTGCCCGTTTATGCACCAGCGGCTTCGGGGACTCGCGACGGCTGTGAGCCGACATGAAAAGCTTCAACAAAACTGTTTGTTTTGTGAGGGATGCCAGAGTCGGGAGGAGGAATCCACTTAATATTAAATTACTTTTCTTTTTTACAGTTACAAATATTCAACAGAACTTTACAGAAGGACATTTTTGAAAAATTCACCTAAATCCTACCAAGGACAGATCAGACAGACACACAGGATATCTACAAGGTTCAGTGTGTTTGTGCCAACATAAAAAAAACTGAAATAGATTTTTGTGACGTTTTTGTTTTCTATTATCAATAAAACTAACGAGAATAATGAGGCATAGAAATGGCATTAATGACACCAACTACTATTTTTATGCCACTACAGGCTTATTTTGTCATTATGTGGGAGAATTAATGATCATCAGAAAATACATTTTAATTACTTTTTAAAGTTGCATTTGCTGAGCTTGATGGCAGTCCTCCACGTTTGATAATTTCATCTCAAAAGCAACAGTAATTGTTCCTCGGCAGTGCTTCTAATGGATTTAAGTCTTCAGCAGAACGTTGCTCCTTTTCAGGTGTTTCTTTGCCCTTTCTTTTTTTTTCCAGCAGATGTGCCATTTAATCTGAAAGCTTTCTTGCTGTTGTAGGTTAGGCCGCGGCTCCCTCTGTTCCCCTTT